TAGTAAACACGAAAGAATGTGATGCTTCCCACACGGAACATTTTGACAAAGTAAATGGAAGGAAGCCTCTGTAAATGTGGTGGTTATAAAATATGTATGTGCAAAACTGCATTTCACAAAGTCTTCTGCAGCCAGGGAGAAAACCTCACCTGTGGCAGGTGGGTGGGAGCCTTTGTACTAGACAGTCTGTCAAGGGGGGGGGGACTAGTTCACTGTTACATAACCAATTCATTTCTCACAGTCCTTGATCTAAAATTCTCTCTTTGCTGGGTAAAAATGGGGAACAACAACATAAATATATGCAGTAAGTCAAAGCTCTCAGGTGGCAACAGAAGACCGTACCTACTCTTAGAATCACAGAATTGTAGAAGGGACCCGAACGGTCATCTAGCCCAAACCCCTGCAATGCAGGAATCTCAGCTAAAGCATCCATGACAGGTGGCCATCCAATCTCTGCTTAAAAACCTCCAAGGAAGGAGAGTCCACAACCTCCCAAGGGAGTCTGTTCCACTGTCAAACAGCTCATACTGTCAGAAAGTTCTTCCTGATGTTTTGTCAGTTTCTCCTGTCTTGTAACTTAAATCCATTGGTTCGGGTCCTATCCTCCAGAGAGGGAGAAAACAAGCTTGCTCCATCTTCCATGTGACAGCCCTTTAAATAGCTCCTCTCAGCCGCTTCTCCAATCTAAGCATACTCAACTCCTTCAACTGTTCCTCACAAGGCTTGGTTTCCAGACCCTTGATCATCTTGGTTGCCCTCCTCTGCACACGTTCCAGCTTGTCAATATCCTTCTTAAATTGTGGCACCCAGAACTGGACACAGTGTTCCAGGTGTGGTCTGACCAAAGCAGAATATAATGGTACTATGACTTCCTTTGATCTGGACACAAATCTTCTGTTGTTGCAGTCTAGAATAGCATTAGCTTTTTGTGCTGATGCATCACACTGTTGACTCATGTTCGGCTTGTGGTCTACTAAGACCCCTAGAACCTTTTCACATGTACTACTGGCAATCCAGGTGTCTCAACTTATATTTGTGCATCTGGTTCTTCCTGCCTAAGTGCAGAACCTTTGTCCCTACTGAAATTCATTTTGTTAGTTTGGGCCCAGTTCTCCAATCTGTTAAGGTCATCTTGAATACCAATTCTGTCTTCTGTGGCATTAGCTACCCCTCCCAGTTTGGTGTCACCTGCAAATCTGATGAGCACCCCCTCAATTCTTTCATCCAAGTCATTTGTAACATTGAACAACAACAGGTCCAAAAAAGAATGCTGCAACACCCCATTTGTTGGGGGGGGGGGTTGAACTCTTGATGTGCAGTATTAACATCCCTGACCAATCCATGACAAGATGGTTTAAATCCCCAAGCTGTTCCAGTAGGACAAAAGGCTGAATTTCTGAAAGTGACACAATATTGCTATTTTGAGGGCTTTCAAAAGGTTAATCTCTTTGCAACAGAACCACTACATTGACGAAAGATATATACGAATCTTGCACAACTGAAGGTGATGCACTTACAGAACTAACCAAGTCCCCACATGTATCCTTCAAAGTACTATTTTGTGGCCAAGGGAACCTTTTTGAAAGTGGTTTTTTTTAAAGTTTACACATGTGCAAAGCACCTATTGGCCCAAGAATGATGCCATCTGGGGTGGGTGGGCGAATGTTGCGTGGAGAGTCTTTGTGAGATGTTTTGTCTAGCAATAACAGAGGGTAGGCCCAGCCTGCTCCCTTTTGGTGGAGAAGTGGGCAGCTGTGAGAGGGCTGGTGAAGACAGCTAAGAGGCAGGGCTGTGAAGTTGTTTTCCTTCCCTTGAGAATGCTAAGGCGATGCCTCCTGAAGAGCAGCCTTCTCCTACCCTACTGAAAACATTTTTGCCTGAAGAGCTGCTCTCCTGTGTGAACTGCAGACCCTGACTGAAGGAGCTGTCAGCATTTTGGAGGAGACCCCTCTTTCCTGCGCTTCCCTAAAACTGCCATTGCTGGGGATAGATGGCCGACTGATACTCAGAGGTTAACAAGACAGACCTATGATGCAAGCAAGATACGCAGTAATTTTATTTTCCTTATTTAATCAGACACCAGACCTGTTACAAAGATTTCTCCAAACGTGACATGAAGACTGGTAACATCAACCCCGCCATACGGGAATCCCTGCCTGGAGGCAGTCAGGTCATATAGCAATGACCAGAGGAGGAATGACTGCTGGGAGGAGCACAGAGAGAAGCACAACCAGACACCTTCACCTGCCCCAGCTGCAACAAAACATGGCTCTCCCATATCGGCCTCTATAGCCACAGGAGGCCCTGTAACCTTCCAACAGGTTGACTTCACCCACAATGGGCACTCCTCCATTGTCTCCTGAGACAGATGGGTGCCAACCTATTATTTTCCACTTGGGACGAATTCCAGAAGGGAAGTGGACATTCCAACTTTGCATGGGCAGGTCCTGAAGAACTAGAGAGATGCATTTTCCCCATATGTCTCAATCTGGGGGAATGTCTAGGAGTCTTGAGCTACCATCAGTAGGACCTGGGCTTGCTCAAAATCCTTTGCTGCCTCAGGCGAAGAATGACATGGTGCCACCCATACTTCAATCCCAACTTCACACATAGAAGCTGACCTGACAGGCAGTTGAATCTTATTTCAACACCAGTAATGGGGTAACAGCCTTCCCTAGACCAGAGGGCAGCACGGCATGCACAGCTTACTCCTACCAACACCTTGCCATGGCTCCTGTCTTACCTGCCAAAACAATAGGGCCGGGGCCAGTTACAGAACCTCCAGACTTGATGGCAGTGCTTGTATTATTTATTTTTAATTCATTTCAGCCACTTGGGGATGGACGGACAATAATTAGCTGAAAAGCAGGATAAAAATCTAACAAACAAACAAACAAACCAATGGCTACATGGAGGCTCCTTGTTGAAAGAATATGGAGCTGAATACCAGTTGTTCAAAGGCACTGGTAGAGGGAGCTGTTGCCTTCCAGCTCTGGCTGTGGGCTTCCCAGAAACATCTGGCTGGCCCTTGTGGATCATCAAGACCCCAAGTTACTGCTGAGGAGCTTTGAGGGACTGGATTCTGGAGTTTTTGTCTGGCCCAGGATGGCTCTTTTTACATTCGTACATTTAAAGCATGGCCTTGAACCAATGTTTGCTCCCAGATGGAGGTTTAATACTGAGCTATCACAAGTGCTGTCAAGGTCGTGCCTTGGGGCAGAAGTCCAAGGCCTTACTCAGAAGAATGAGCAAGAGGGGCTCCCATGTTTTTCAGGGCTAGCTTACCACATTTTGAAGTGAAGTATTCAAATCTAAATGCACCATCATCTAAAAAACACCCCTGTCCCTAGACCATTACTGTAAGTTCATAGTCTAAGGCTCCATCTGCACTGTAAATGAAAGCAGCACCATACAGACATGGCTTCTACCAAAGAATCATGGGAACTGTAATTAATTAAGGGTGAAGAGAGCCATTGGGAGACCCCCTATTTTTCTCACAGCAGGAGTTTGAGCGTTTTTCTCTCAGAAAAATACTTATCTGTTACTTTTTCCATACAAAGCTTTCATTCATCTTTGGAAATTGATGAATGCACCTGTTTAATTTAGTTCAGAAGTTAATGTGAGAAATGCTATTCACATTACTGTGAGAACTTTCTAGCCACAGGGCTGGCCCTTGCAAGACATTCAGGTACCAGAGATGGAAAATCCACACAGCACCCTACTTTCCCACTGACATGAGGCTCACAGCTCCCTGGAAATTCTCTTGGGCAAAACTCATGAACAAGACCTGTACAAAAGACTGATGACCTATTGATGGATTGTGCTCCAAAGGTAAGATCTGCCTGTTCTTCTTAATGCCTCCTCAACTTCAATCCAGACAACAACAGTTTTACCACACACACACAATCCCATCTCTACCTTCTTAGCTTGCCTAAATGGGATATTTCTGATTCCTAGCACGAAACAGAACCAAGGCAATTTCTTGCATTATATAACTGCCTTTTCCTTTTCGCTAAACTCCAGGAACACCACCTAAAAACTCTGGTATGTGAAAGGATAGAAGTCAATAATGGATGCATTGAGAAGAGAAGGGGAGGAACTCCCAACACATTATCGACTTGCATTTTTCTGAAGCCCTGCGGGTGCTAATGTCTGGGAAGATAATGCATTCCGGAAAGAGACAAGAGACACTAAAGGGTTGCTAGGACCAACGAGAGAAATAACCGCTTTCCCTTTAAGCAGGTGCTCGAGCAGATTCGAGTACAGACTGAAGAGAGAGGAGAGTGCTTGAAAGGGGCACCATCAATCGCGAGCAACAGAGCGCAGCTAAAGTGGGGACAGTTGGGTGAGGGGACAGGAGGGAAGATCACCCCTCCAAAAGCACCCGATCTCCAGACTGAGCGCCGTCCCCTAGGAGAGTTTAAAAGCAACAGACAGACAAACCCAACAGCGTCCCTGTGTCACAGGCTATATAATACAAAGAGCGATTCCCACCGCCGATCGTGGGCGATCACGGATCTCCCTGGCTACCGGGTCTTCCCCCGGTGCCGATTTCTAGCAAATGATTTACAAAAGGGGGGTAAAAAAAAAGCCAAGCGTAAAAAACCACCCTCTATAAACGCAGTGTCCCTTCCTTCACCTCCACCGCGCCCAGCGGCGTTCGCCGAGCTACTTTCGAGGCAGGCTAAGTACCTCGGTCTTCTTTGTTTGGCTGCGAGGGATTTGCACGCTCCAAGCGTGGTGCTCTCCGGTCGCCGCCAGGCAGCCGGTGCAGTTTCGCAGGCTGAAAGTGCTCCGCGCAGCCCAGGCGAAACCCGGGCGGAGATCTGGACGCGGCGACGCGCACAAGTTCCCACGGCTGGGCGAGGCTGCGATCACACCGGCAATATCTGCGGCCGTCGCTGCCTCCTTGGCCTGACCCTGCCCTCCACCTGCCTCGTTTGGTTTGCGGGAGAAGATCAGAAAATACAAACGTGGTGTGCAGCAAGAGATCGGGTTACCTTGGAAGCGCCACGCAGTCTCTCTCTCTCTCTCTCTCTCTCTCCCTCCAGCAAAATGATGTGTGTGCTGAAAGGCTGTGGTGGGGAGATGGGGGAAATTTAAATCCCGGCAGGAAAGTTCAGCGGCAGGCGATGCAAGCGGAGGAAGCCAAGCTCTCCCATCCCCTCTTGGAGCGAGAGGGCTACACTCCTGGCGCTCTCCTCCCTTCCCTTCGAGGGAAGGAACCCGCGCAGGGGAGAGCCTCCATTGGGCAGGATCCGAAGCCGGGGAGAGCGAAAGAGGATCGGGATTGGCTGGCGGGGAAGGAGGGTGTGGCAAGGCTGTCCCAGGGTGTTTCCTCGCTCTCTCGGCCCCCCCAGTGCAGCCTCGGGGATGTCGAAGGGTTGACCGTCTTATTTTCATTCTCATCGGAGGCTTTAACTGTAAAATGCAAAACAACCGCGCGCAATCCTCCCCCGGCGTCGTCATCGGTGGTATATTATAAATGCACATAACGTTTTACAGAGTGACATAAAAAACCCCAATGAGATTAGAAATAGAGACGTTATTATTAAAAAGAACGAAATAATAAGAAACCTTCGTTAGATGCCCAGCCGCATGCTGGAGGTGTCACACCGAAGCACACCAGCCAAGCAAATCAATTGCCCTCTGCCACAAAAAAGCTAACAGCAAACAGCGCTGTACAAGGAAACCAGCCAGCAGAACGGAAGACCATATGAAAAGCCCGTTTTCACCCTCCAGAACAATTTTTTAAACGAAGTTTGGTGCGACTCAATCAAGGATAAGAGTGTTTCTCTTCAGGCAAGCATCGTTACAGCTAAGATGTTTTAATGTCAGCTTTGTTTTAATTCGACTGACCCTGTCCATGATTGATGCTGTATTCTAATTTCTGGAGGTTTTCTGATTCTTGTCGTTTTGTCAGTGGTAATCACCCTTTGAGAACAGCTGTTGAAAAGTGGGTTATACTTTTTGTCAAATGAATAAATGGACAAAGAAGTAAAACTGATTATGACATAGCATGTACATGATTGTATGTAAGAGCTACATGAAAGCCAATTTCGCACTGGAAACGTTTGTTTAGAACTGCAATGACTTCCAGACGTCTGGATACAGGGAAAAACAAATGTTCACACAATTTTCTGGCAACAACAGTGTTTCCTACAGTTATTTATTGTATTTCTTATTCTCCCTTCACCAGAAGGTCCCATGGCAGGTTACAGTATATACAACCACAATTAAAAACAACCCCACCCACAACCCCCATAATATAATCCATACAGCATATTACAAGGAGGAGAGTATAAAAAATATTCTTCAATTCTCAATGGCCTCTCTGCCCTTCTAGTACAAAGACAGTACGGTACTACTAAGATCTAACAAGGCTGGTTTAAGTTGTGTTAAGAGTGCCACATACAGTACAATAAAGTGCTTTGGTGGAATATAAAACATAGATGATAACACAAATACAAGGTGCCAGCTGCTGTATAAAGTGCTAACAACAACTCATAAAGTTCAATGATGGTACCACACATTCCTTTTCCTTCTTGTGTTGTTCCACACAGGAGAAGTGTCAAGTGTGAAAAGGTCCACATACATTTTTAAGCCACTTTCACTTTCTATTTTAACTTAGAACAACAAGATGTTAATTGGAGTTGCGTCACACATGACAAAATACATTGGGGCAGACCTGGTATACACCCTCATTTAGCTATGCCAGAATAGGATTCGTAAATAAATCATTATCTGTGCAAAACAAAAAAAATTCCTTCCAGTAGCACCTTAAAGACCAACTAAGTTAGTTCTTGGTATGAGCTTTCGTGTGCATGCACACTTCTTCAGATATCTGTGCAGTTGACCTTAGGGGTGGAAGGCAGTTGAAAACCAAGAAAAAAATGTCCTGTACAATCCACAGCTCATCTTACAGTAAGAAGTTTGGAATCCAGTTACTGAAGTCAAGGCTGTAGTTTCAACTGTTCACTCTATTAAGCATTTAGTATTCCCCCTTCATCAGAAATGTTCCATTATAGCTAGTAATCAATATTCTGCTTTATATGCCAACCCACATAATGCACACAGACTTACTGACTTTTCTTGGTCACCGCAAGATCCAGTATTCTCTACCATGCACAATATTATTTACTCAGAAACTAGAATAATTCAACATTGCCTATGAGCTCAACCATTCAAGCACTTTCTTGCCCTTTAAATCAGCATTCTAGGAGAAAAGAGAATGATTTTTATTTCTATTTCAGCAATGACAACATCTTGTAAGATTCCCTTCTGTTCATTACAAGCAGCTGGTGTTGCTGTGAAAACGAAATACATTAATGTGAAAATGCGGGCAATTTATTCTCAGAATTTCCACCTCCTCCTTGTGCAACATTTTTTAAAAAATTACATGATACCCCACCCTACAGTAAGAGGTGCACAGTAAATTGCACATTTTTATCCTCTGGCCACATATGATTACACAGTAGCCCATAAGATTAGAAAGTCTCCTGTTTTGCCAGTGGGTAAAAGGTGTGGTACATGGGTGGCGCTGTGGTCTAAATCACTGAGCCTCTTGGGCTTGCTGATTGGAAGGTCGGCAGTTCGAATCCACATGATGGGGTGAGCTCCCATTTTTCTGTCCCAGCTCCTGCCAACCTAGCAGTTTCGAAAGTATACCAGTGTGGGTAGATAAATAGGTACCACTGCAGTGAGAAGGTAAATGGCGTTTCCGTGCACTTTCATCATGGTGTTCTGTTGCACCAGAAGTGGTTTAGTCATGCTGGCCACATGACCTGGAAAAGCTGTCTGTGGACAAACGCTGGCTCCCTCAGCCTGAAAAGCAGAGATGAGTTCTTTGGCTTCAACCAGGGCCTTTTGACAGCAGCATTCTCAAACATTGAGGGGTGGCGCCACCTCCTCTGTTGGATCCAAGAATTCTTCCTCTAACCTCCCACAAGAGGAAATCCTCAGGACTGGCTCCAGGAGTTCCTGTCCACTCTCTAGGTCCTTGACCTGTGGCATGTCTGGCTCATTCTCTGAGGACTCCGTGTCTAGTGCCGGGTCATGGGTAAGCATAACTGGGCTACTTGCACTAGGTGAGAGGGCAGAAGATGATGACTTCATGCCTAGTGAGCTAGAAAGGTGCCGTTGCTCTGAGGAACAGCATGTTTTTGCATGTTTAACATTTCAGCAATTCAGATGGCAATTCACATCAAGTAGCAGAAGCTGTGGAAAACTGTATCTGTAAACCCTCCTGCTTCATTTAACCACAGTTCCCTGTGGTTCCCCCCATAATGGGGGAAACTGTGGTTAGTTCAGTAGTTAAGAAGGAAAGTAGTAGGACTTCAGAACTATGGAGATTCTCCAAAGGAAGCCCTGTGCACAATGCATTGGCAGTCTAAAGTGACAGCTGCTACAGCACAGATAACAGTGTCTAGGAGAAGCACAGTTGGTGCACCAGTCTGAGTCTGTGAAAGCCAATTCATGCCACTTTGGCATGGATCTAGCACTACCTCAACCCAGGGCTGACCCAATACACGTTGGCATGTACTCCCCCCACCAAAGAAGAAGGAGTGAGTGAAGATCTACATCAGGAACAAGGGTGGGAGGAGATCAGCAGTGCCTCCTATTTGCTATGAGGCCACTATAGAGGGGACAGATCTGGCCTCCAAGGAGTGCTCCGTAGCTGTTGCTGCTACTATGGCAGCAGCAGCAGCAGCAGCAGCAGCAGCAGCAGCAGCAGCAGCAGCAGCAGCAGCAGCAGGCAATGCATTCTTGGAGGCCAGATTTGCTGTCCCAGTGGATCCTGTTGCCTGAGGCAGCTGCTTCGCCTCATGGGTGGGCCGGCGCTTCCCCATACCTAACTGTGAACCTGATCTTTTAGGGCGAGTGTATCATCTACAATATGCTGAACACTATCTTCCAGATCAGCTGGAATCTTACCAGCAGTTCTCCATCTTTAGTTTATTGGTCTTCATCCAATAATTAAGCAACTTAAAACATTGCTTTTGCATATCCATTGCTTCACCTGAACCTGATGAAAATAATAAATAGAGCTGGGTCACAAAATGCGCTTGATTCAAGCAAAGACATAACGACAATGAAGCCAATGGGTCTAGCATGTGACCTTGCTACACAGAGTCTGCATACTGGATATAATACTCCCCAGAATAGTCATAACAGGTCTTTTATGTTGTGAACCACCCTATTATCTTTGGATGAAGGGCAGTATACAAATTTAATCACCATCAACAGGCAAGAGTTTGTGGGAAAAGATCCTTGTAGGCCAAAAGTTCAAAAACCATTGTGAATTATTATAGTAGGTTGCAAACCGTTAGTCCACAACTAAGGCCATTTTGCCAGTTACCCAGCACCTGGAGACAATCAGCCCTGTTGTGTATCCACAGCAGTGACCAGAGGAGGAATGATGCCTTCACCTGCCCCACCTGCAACAAAACGTGTCTCTCCCATATCGGTCTCTACAGCCACAGCAGGCGCTGCAATTCTCCAACGGTTTGACTTCACCTCCCAACAGCGTACCCTTCCATTGTCTCCCAAGACAGATGGAGGCCAGCCCAGGTTCACCTGAAATATAGACTTCCCATCACTGCTAAATACTCCGTGTTTGCATTCCTGCGTTCTCAGCCCAGCTTGAGGAAGAGCACAATTAAGCTGGAAATTATACGTTGTCTCTAACACTTCTCAGCCACCACACACAATTAGAGCATTAGCTAACCGTCTGTTTGGGTTTGTTCATGCTGGAGATGGAACAGGCAGCAATACCTTGAGATTAACCTCCTGCTAATTCGGGGGGTGGGGTGGAGGAGAGAATCCACATAAGCATTATTACTACTTTTAGGAGTATTTTTTGAGTACTGGACAACTAAGAACCTCAATGGGGAATCTTCAGCAAAAGCGGGTGGGGAAGGCAGACAGCTGTAGAGTGAGGTCATATTATGTCATTCTTTTCAGCATTCTTATATCCCACTCCCTTCTGTGCATTTTTCTCTCCAAGCAGGAGCAAAGTCGACACATATTCATGATAAAAAATAAAGTAAGACTGGTTGGCACAATCCAGTTGAAGCTGAGCATCTTTCAGTCACGTTCTTTTCTCTGGAAGAGGCTTAAAGCAGATGCTTAAATCTCCCATTTCAAAGAAAAGCACCCAGAAAATGCCTAGCATTAGCTGATTTGTGCCTATAGATTGTTTTGCACAGTCC